GGAGGGGAATATTTGGCTGATATTTTTGCTGGCATTTTATTGGCTACGTTGGACGAAATTCAGGACCCGACGGCTAAACGATTCTCTTTGCTTCCAGGTGCGGCCTTGTTTGGGACTTACGGCGTCCGTTCCGGATAAACTGAGGAAGAATGTTCTGTTTCGAAAACACAATTCGTTCTGTGCGGATTGTTATCGTGGCAGGGATGCTGCTGTTTTCTACCTGCGCTTTGGGCCTTATGATTCCGTCACGGAGAGCGACGCGACTTTTTATGGGCTTTTCGGGGGCATTCGGGGGATACGGCTAATGTTCTTGAGCTTTTGGGAGTGATTATTTTTTGGAGTTTGTCGTACTTCGTTTTTCGATGATAACAAAAAAAATGGGTCTGGTTGTGTTTCATTTTTTGGGCGTAATTAGTCTAACTTTTTTTGGAATGTGGTTAACTGTATGTGTATATGTATTTTTGAAGCGAAGCAGATAGTCGTGCAGAGATACATCATTCGTAGAAAGTTAATAGTCGGCGATAAGGCCCAATTTTAAAAAATGAATATTTTTCGTAACTATTGGGGATAATGGATTTATATATATATATATATTTTTTATATGCATCAACCGTATACCGTTTATGTTAAATTTATTTGAGTGTGTACGTTCTCTCCTGTACTCTGTCTGTACGTGCCGGGTACACAATGGGCCCGATCTATGTCGCATTGTACATTGCGGTAAAATCTTTGGGCCCACCAGTCGCGATACCGCTCTTCGAAGAAGGGTTTGTTTATACTTGAAGAAGACGGGGGGCCTTATTGTTCCCTGTGACCAATTGCACACCAGGGGTCTGCAATGGGACCTGGTCACTCTTTCCTTTTATAAACGGGATAGAAAAATGTCCAGGATGTTTCTACGGTGACAGGAACTTCGACGGGATGGACCAGTAGAGATGGCTACAGGTAGCGAAGAATATTAAGGCCCAGCGCGAGGGACACTCTCAAGCTAAGAAAAACTTAGTGAAATGGTTTAGTATACGGGGGGTCCCATTATGTTGCTTAGATAATCTGATTTGCGTGACTGAGTTGTCAATGTCCTTGACAGTTGTCAATCTTTAGAAGAGAAGGACCGTCTTGGACATTTTCACTGACCCTGACGTCAATTTTTATTGAGATTTTTTTTTTCAATTTGCAGGCCCAAAATTCGTACCACCAAAGTTTAACCAGCTTGCTTTAATGTAAAGCCGTTTTTATCTGCTGCCGCTCTTACCGGAGGTTCGTGTTGACCGACGGCCAGGATAATCCGGATTAAAAAGTCAATGGCTCCTGTTTACGAAAATACAAGGACGTCCAGGAAGGCGTCGGAGGAATCAGATGGAATTTACGGTTGTCAGGATCAGCGAACCGAGGTGGAGAAAATCAAAGGAAAAAGATGGCAAGGACGTTTTAAAGTCCTGGATGAATTTTGTCAAAGAAAAATAACGGGTGTCTCTTTAAATTGATACCAGGATCTTTGGCATCCTTATCGATCGCATCGAGCGTGCGAATGTTCTAGAAGAAATGTAAAATCAACATTTAATAACGGCAATACGTATATTACAGGTGTTTTTAATTAACCAATAAATCCCAAGAGACTGTAGCCGCATCGAGCATCTAATTATACACGGTGTACTATTTTTAAAAGAATATTTTACTTTTTTGCCAGTCTGGCAAAATGAGGCGCCAATCAAAATGAAACGACAAAAAGGCGTCGAGACCTTTAGGAAATGAGCAAACTCGAAACGTGCCACCAGAAAATTAGACGAGTCCTCTACCCTTTGCTTTTTTTCTTTTGCAAAGAAAAAAAAAATCAAGATCGTTTCGAGCACTGGAATATAATTTTTCACGTTATAATGAGACGGTCCCAAGAGGAGCCAGGGTTTTTTCACACGCTGCTCCATCGGGCCCGTTGCCAATTTAAATTCTCAAAATAATTTTCTGCGCTTCATACTTTCGAGCGATAACACAAAATCCATATGGTAGCCGAGAATGGAAATTTTGGCGAATTTAAAAAAATCTAAATCCCATCGATTTAACCCAAAAATCATTGTAACCCCAAAGTCAAATTTGGATCCTCAATTTGAGAACCACTAGTCAACGTGTGTGGTCCGCTCTGGCGGCGAGGTGCCGACACTCGAAGTTTCCCCTTCTACCACACGTTTTCTTCTTGTTCTTCCACCCATTGTACCTTCTCGCTTAAGCCTTACGCCGTCCACGTAAGGCCCTCTACCTTCACCTCGCACGTCATTATATACCGGCGCTCGGCACGAATCTACTTTAGGGCCTTCCGTATCCCTCTCTGACTTATACCAAAGAAATTGGTTCTGTTCCTTGTTCCAAGTGCCCTGTTCCTTGTCCCATATAGGTACCGACCAGGCTTATTACCAACGGACCTAATCCTATCCATTCTCTCGTTAGTCCCCATACTGTTATAAGTCCCAACCGATACTACTCAGTACACACCAAAAGCAGGCACAAAAAAAATTTCAAATTTGAAATTAATTTTTAAAAAAATTTCAAACCCCCTCCCGTCCTCCCCCGATCCTCATCTCAAACACCAAACTGATCCTTTGTGACAATACTGTATCCGCTAACGAGCTGCACTTTTTATGCAGCTCGACGTAATTGGCCCTGATTTGCATAGATTCGCAAGAGAAGAAAGAGACGGGAGAACAAGCCAGTTTGGAAATTGACGAGGGTTCCGCCATGCTAGTCCGCCTATAAGTATAGCTACACCGTATTCCTACCTACGTAACCTATATGTATACATACTGTAGTTAAGGTTTGCGCATGCACCTTATATATATACAAGCCAGAGGAATGCACAGCCGGCCTCATTAAGCATTGACTTGATGCTTCTGTTGTTTTCTCGCCAAGTTTTATGCTTTCGTGCAGGGCCGATGCTTCACATGCAAGCAGTACGTAGGCGAGAGTGAGCGAAACCGAAATAAATCATTTTGGCTTGAGCCGGTGCGATTGCCGTTTTATAAATGCATACGAGAGCCGGGTGCATCGCGTACCGTGATGCAGTCCGCATGCACACGCGGATACGCTCGTGTATTAATTTAATACGATTGCAGATCTCGGACGAATTCTTTTTTCGTACGCGGTCATTTTTGAAAAATCGAAAGTATCGATTAATCGATCCGAGAACGGATTTTTAGGCTTGTTTTTTTTTAAATAGTTTTCCATATAAAGTCACTCGCGTCTGATCCTCTTGTTCTGGGATTTACGTGTGGGAATGTGTCACGAATATTTTAGTGCTACAGGCCGTTTCAAGGGAGGTAAAACAAATCACGGCGCGTGTCTGGAATACCGGGAACCTTTCCAGGTCCCACCCCTTATGTAAAACGTTCACCCCTATTTTACTTGACGAACCCTACGTATGTGGGGTCTTGTATGTTGGATGCTTGAAAATTTGTCATCGAATATCACCCCTGTCTTTTTACATGTATATATATTGCTGGGATATTAGGAGCAGTGGATATAAGAAAATTCCAAGGGTCAAATTACGTAGGTCATGTAGGGTCAAGGAATTTTTTTTTTTTGAAATTATGGTTATACATTTTTTTTTGTTGTTTTTTTTTACATTTTTTTTTTCTACGGCTCTTCTTATATTTGATATACCAAAAAGTTCTTTGCTCTGCATATTGTTGGATTGCGCTCTCTTTGTAATTATACGGATTGTGGTAATGTCTGTGATTAAAAGAAACTAATGAGCCGCCATTAGGATAGCCAAGACGGTTTCTTACTGCGGCTGCCCAGAAGGCATCGCTCTCGCGCAGTGCCACGGTATTTAAAATAATATGCAATTTCGCTCTTTCCTCGTAATTACTATTGTGCGCGCTCGCGATATTTTCGTAAAAACACACGTTATTCGCGAAGGCGCTTCTTCCCTGTCCCTTTCAGCGAGGATAGAAACACGCACGCGTGGATATAGATGCAATTACGATATAAAAAAAATTGGAGTAGTTTGAAAAAAATTTTTTTGGGATTTTTTTACAAAATCCAAAAAAAATTTACGTCTATCTATTTACATATGTCGCGTCTACGTGAAAGGCGGGAATTTTTTTGAACATCATTTTTTCGCCTGGCTGATGTTACGCGATGACTTTCAATTACACGGGGATTTGGAATTGCACGTGAAATAGGTTTACTGTAATTATGACGAAGGATTTAGCTTTATCTTCGTCTTGATCGTGGGATAACTTTTTATATCGATCAATGACGTTTGGCCGTTTTTAAGGGAGGAAACGAAACGGTGAGGGAGGTCGAAATTTAAGGCGGTATTTGTAAAAGGAAAAACGAAATTCTATGCTGTACTTAATTATTGTACCTTTCATGGGAAAGAGTTGTGCGAAGAGAATGGAGATAAAGAAGTGAAAGATAGAAGCTGAGGATTTGCTGCACCTAAGCGTGGATGGCGGAAGAGGGGAGGTTCACGTCGTTCCTGACAAATCAAGCTGAAAATTGAATTCTGAAATGTCGAGGGACACAGTGCCTGTGTCATCCTCCACTCCCTTTACGATTGTTTCTCACCCGTTGCCGTTAGCTGGCAGCACCAGTCCTCTTGTACTCCAGTACTTTATATAGATATATACGCGATGGGTCTTATATTGGCCTGTTGTCAACCGAAACTTTAAAAATAAAATTGTAATTTCGGATAAATTGGTTTTGGTGTGAAATAAAAGAAAAGATATTCACATAAATAAGAAAAAGAATGGTCAACCTGTCACTGAGAATGTAAACAATTTTTTAAATCCTTAATTAAAGATTAGAGAATTATAAGAATTTCTGAGTGAGACGGACGAACTATGACCTCTTCCGTATAATCACAAGTGTTTTGGAATGTTAAGTGGTCGATAAGTACAGTCGGAGAGAAAATAGAGATAAATAACTTAACCGACGACTGAAAAGTTACTTTTAAAGAGAACACTTGCCGTATCGACTCGTCACCGTGAAATTAATTTCTCGTAATACTCCAAATTTAAGATATTTTGACTGTCGATAACGAGAATTTTTATTTTTCGAGTGCCGTCGATGCATGCAAATTTATTCAAATTTTTTTCACCCCGGGACTGGGTCGAGGTTGAGTGAAGATCGTCTCGAGATTTATTTGTCGATCGAGAAGAAAAAATTAAATGAAATTTCGTTACCGCCTAAATCACCTCGTGACTAGAGTATCCTGGAGCATTTTGAAAATTTGAAAAATGAGTCGAAAAAAATATTGAAATTTAATTGTCACTCGTAATTGCATTATTTGTGATTTTTTCCACAAAATTCAAATACGTAACTACGGCCATTTAATTAACTTATTCATTCCGCCGCGTTGCTCCTAATTAAACGTGAACTGTAACACCTCCGGTAACTCCGCTCTTCATTGTGAACTAGATCCGATAAGGTGGGAAGTGCTCGTTACTGAATGGAGTATAAAGGCCAAGTAAGAAAAGTCAGTTAAAGATAAAATCACTATGGAGCTCGATTCCGAGAAATGTAAAATATCCAATTGTTAGGTATTATCAAGAATCGGTGTTACCCCCATTTTCAAATCGGTTCTCGATTCCTACAGTGATAATAATAATAATTCGGAGCAGCGATCCTTATCAATTTTTCAATGAAGAAGCCAAATTAAAAAAACGAAGATGAGTAAGCATAGCCAATAATAAAAAAAAAATATTTTTTCCATATAAATCAATGACTGAAAATTCAATCATTTTAATCAATTTACGTGATAACAATCGCGGTTCGATTGTGTAAACATGTAGTTTTCAATTCTTAGTCAACACAGCGAGTCCTTTGGAATTCGTTCTTAAGGGTTGCCCCTTGTCGCCATCGTGAGTTTTGAAAAGAAGGGCGAGAGGGGTTAAGAGGTGGAAGGGGGTGGGAGAATATGGAAAAGGGGAGGATAAGGTAGATTCATTAGGTTTCATCGCGTCTCCCCAAAAGAAATCAATTCACTGCGTGGAATAAAAGATAAGGCGAGGGCAGACGCAGGGCTAATGTATCAATCATTCTGTTTGCGTAACCTCTGACACGCGTTCCACGAATGTCCCAGGAGGGGTTGTATAGTGGGGCGTACACATTTACACGTACCTACCTACTGCAAAATCAATAGCCCTTACCTTCCATTTTCACCCTATCCTATACTACCCTTGCATATATATATATATATATAATACTCCTTTTGTGTGTATGTATACATATACATATATCAGTATAGTTCTTATGCCTTTATATCAGATGAAAAGATTGTTTTCTTAATTCATTTTCACCCTATCCTATACTACCCTTGCACCTCTGACACGCGTTCCACGAATGTCCCAGGAGGGGTTGTATAGTGGGGCGTACACATTTACACGTACCTACCTACTGCAAAATCAATAGCCCTTACCTTCCATTTTCACCCTATCCTATACTACCCTTGCATATATATATATATATATAATACTCCTTTTGTGTGTATGTATACATATACATATATCAGTATAGTTCTTATGCCTTTATATCAGATGAAAAGATTGTTTTCTTAATTTTTCATCAAATCTAAGATTCACAATCAACCCAGTCTATTTTGTTGGGTCACCGGACAGACATAAATTTTGTAATTTAAACCGGGGTGGATTGACATGAAAATATTTATACACTGATAATTTAGTATATGATAATACATATCTTGGACGTAATTAATGATAACTAGATCAAATGATAAGTATGCAAGGGTGTATATATATTTTGAAACTCGAGTAGATTGATACCTGCTTGACAAAGGTGCCAAAATATAAAAAGGATGTAGAATGGACGGAAAGAAGAAGAAAAAAAAAGGTGAAATTCTCCAGAGGCTCTATCGGAAGAGGGTGAACCACCCTGTAATCAATATTGGTTCCCATGGAGATGGCCCGCTGGCGAACTTGTTACCTACATTCACCTAAATCACTTCCTATTTTATCCCAGCAACACACAGCACCCTTTACACGTCCGCCATCTTTATTGTCTCCCCGCTCCATAGGAAGAAGCTCAGCTCGTAAGTCACTTCCGGTAGAAATATAAGACCCCGAAAAAAAAAAAAAAAAAAAAAAAAAAGGAAAAAAAC